CCCCCCCTCTGTTGTTATCCATGCTTCCATGCACGAAATAAACTCTTGACAATCCGGAGAAAATCCCAGGTGGGACTGGATGTCTGCACGAAACAAGCCTCAAACCACGTACACTTAGGCATGGACGGCAAACACTTGATTCCCAGGCCAAGGAGTCCGACTATTAATGCTTGACATTCACCTTAGGAGAGCTTAGCTCAAGTAAAAATCGGTAGTCTATGATGTTGTTTTTCTCATTCGAACTTAAGGTTTGTATTTTTAATTCCTTGTGTTAATTCTGACTTTGGTTTAGGATATCGTATTGTTCCCACTTCGTTTGACAAAGGCATTTACCGTCTTTGCTTTGAATTGTCAATTGTAGACAGCGGTTTTGATGGATTTGTAAGGCTCGGGCATTATGTGAGTTGCAATGGCTTTTGATTAATATATTAAAGATCTGTATTCAGATTTCGTTCAAAAAGTAAGAAGACGAAGCAAGTCCTACTTCATACATTTATAATGAAAGAGATGAAAAGAGTGTCAGATTAGACAACTGACCTGACAAAGTTAGGCATTACAACAATACCACCATTCTCAAGAGCATATTCTTTATTCTACTCAAATTATAAAATGTGACGAGTCCCGACGGTTTGGTCCACTAGGTACAGATTTCTTAATTTAGGTTTTTGGTATAGCTGCAAAGATGGCATAATTCCCCTTCATATGACACCGATATCAAATGAATACGATAATTTGTAACGAAATGACGCACAATTTAATTTTAGAATGCTTCACTGCTGTCAAAGGCAAAATACTGAGATCGTATTTGTAACCAAAGACGGACAAATAGCTTCACCACATAACAAAGCCATTCTCCAAAATAGCTTTAAAAATACATTTAGCCGTAAATTTTAAAGACTTGTATTTACTTTCCGACAGAAAAGTCATTCAAAAGTAATATAAAGAAACACAAAAATTGCTTATTTTTAGACCCAACGATCAACAAGTGTTTTTGGCAATTTCTGCTGTTCAGCTCGATGTACCTAGTGGACCGAACCGTTGGGACGCGTCACATATATTATTTATGGAACTTAGAAGTCCTTTTAAATATAACAGTTTCCTTCTGAGATCATAACAATATGTGCAATGTAATCACGGGAAAATTTCGAGTTGAATCTCTCGTAACCTTAGGACAAAAGACAGTGAAAAACAAAACATCAAAACAGCAATCACAAAAGAGAAAATGAAGTAACCATTCAATAAATATTTTATTCAAAACCAAAACTCAAAGTTATAAAGTAAAACACCTACGCTAGACTGAAAGCAGGTTAAAAGCTAATGTCATCAGACCCCTCCTCTCTTTCCCCCAAACTTATTTACCGCTACCCCTGCCACCACAAAAAAAAAGAAAACATAATAACTATTATGACAATTGAATTTTTAAAAAGTTTTAAAGGCCAAAAATGAACCAATAAAAAACAAACTCACAAAAAAGAATGAAATTAAAACAACCCAACCAAGCAAATAGTAAAAAAATAAAGTAAAGAAGGAAACAAAATAAAGACAAAGTGACAACCGTTCTCATATTTGAAAGAGTAGATCTATCTCATACAGAAACTATCTGAACTGTTCGACTCTTCCTCCAAGCACCCTCCTTGCTGTATTGAAATTCTGCTGCACTTGGGTATAAACAATTAAATCCCCATCTGTCTTTCTTAAAGGAGAGCGGTGTCTCGTTACAGCAATGCATGGGCCCATTGATTCTTCAGATTGATCATGATTAAAACAACACTGCCCTCCCTTTCTTCCCCTCGTCTCCTTTTCGATGTGGTATAATGTCTCGATTTCTGCTCCTTTTCTTTTTTCTCTTGATCTTCATTGGAAACATCACTCCCCGCTCTTTGTCTGTCTGTCTGTCTGTCTGTCTGTCTGTCTGTCTGTCTGTCTGTCTGTCTGT